TATTCAGACGGAGTAGCCTAAGCCTAAGCCTAAGCCTAAGCCCAAGCCTAAGCCTAAGCCTAAGCCTAAGCCTAAGCCCCTAAGCCTAAGCCCAAGCCTAAGCCTAAGCCTAAGCCTAAGCCTAAGCCTAAGCCTAAGCCTAAGCCTAAGCCTAAGCCTAAGCCTAAGCCTAAGCCTAAGCCTAAGCCTAAGCCTAAGCCTAAGCCTAAGCCTAAGCCTAAGCCTAAGCCTGCCTAAGCCTAAGCCTAAGCCTAAGCCTAAGCCTAAGCCTAAGCCTAAGCCTAAGCCTAAGCCTAAGCCTAAGCCTAAGCCTAAGCCTAAGCCTAAGCCTAAGCCTAAGCCTAAGCCTAAGCCTAAGCCTAAGCCTAAGCCTAAGCCTAAGCCTAAGCCTAAGCCTAAGCCTAAGCCTAAGCCTAAGCCTAAGCCTAAGCCTAAGCCTAAGCCTAAGCCTGGCCTAAGCCTAAGCCTAAGCCTAAGCCTAAGCCTAAGCCTAAGCCTAAGCCTAAGCCTAAGCCTAAGCCTAAGCCTAAGCCTAAGCCTAAGCCTAAGCCTAAGCCTAAGCCTAAGCCTAAGCCTAAGCCTAAGCCTAAGCCTAAGCCTAAGCCTAAGCCTAAGCCTAAGCCTAAGCCTAAGCCTAAGCCTAAGCCTAAGCCTAAGCCTAAGCCTAAGCCTAAGCCTAAGCCTAAGCCTAAGCCTAAGCCTAAGCCTAAGCCTAAGCCTAAGCCTAAGCCTAAGCCTAAGCCTAAGCCTAAGCCTAAGCCTAAGCCTAAGCCTAAGCCTAAGCCTAAGCCTAAGCCTAAGCCTAAGCCTAAGCCTAAGCCTAAGCCTAAGCCTAAGCCTAAGCCTAAGCCTAAGCCTAAGCCTAAGCCTAAGCCTAAGCCTAAGCCTAAGCCTAAGCCTAAGCCTAAGCCTAAGCCTAAGCCTAAGCCTAAGCCTAAGCCTAAGCCTAAGCCTAAGCCTAAGCCTAAGCCTAAGCCTAAGCCTAAGCCTAAGCCTAAGCCTAAGCCTAAGCCTAAGCCTAAGCCTAAGCCTAAGCCTAAGCCTAAGCCTAAGCCTAAGCCTAAGCCTAAGCCTAAGCTCTAAGCCTAAGCCTAAGCCTAAGCCTAAGCCTAAGCCTAAGCCTAAGCCTAAGCCTAAGCCTAAGCCTAAGCCTAAGCCTAAGCCTAAGCCTAAGCCTAAGCCTAAGCCTAAGCCTAAGCCTAAGCCTAAGCCTAAGCCTAAGCCTAAGCCTAAGCCTAAGCCTAAGCCTAAGCCTAAGCCTAAGCCTAAGCCTAAGCCTAAGCCTAAGCCTAAGCCTAAGCCTAAGCCTAACATCAATTGGCTCAGACTTATGCCTTATAATTAGTTTTTATTCATTTTAAATTAAGGATAAACTCATGCCTTATTACGCTAAGACTTCGTCCCTAATATGTCTGTAGTCTGAGCCTAAGCTAACGTAACCACACACGAACGCATAAGTAGCCAAGAAAAAAGGTCATACTTCAGACTTAGGAGAGAGCTTAGAAGTCCAAACAGAGCGCTAAAATAGCCGCTTTCCAACAAGCTAACTCCAAGAGTAGCGGAGAAAGGGAATAAAGGAGCTGAGAATGGTTGAAGCGGCAAGTTCTGGTTATAAGCGGTAGCTATGGATTTATTAATTCGTGCTTACCACAATGTTCACTTCAGAAGGCAGTAGATTGGTAAAAAAAAAATGGAAACACGAAAAAGCAAAATTCTTAAATCGCGCTTTGCAACAGAAAAGGTCGAAAGGGGGACGTTTGTTTGCAATACTAAATTTAATACAAAGTATGCGGAATATAGGGAAGGAATTAGTCGCATTTTTCTAACATTAGAAGCCTAGCTGTACTTAAATCGCAAGAAGAAGGTATAATAGAAACATCAAGGTCGTTGCTTTTATACCAAACGCCGGTTGTGTAACAGCGGCAAGTATAATGGCCCGAACTGCAACTGGAAGGAATGTAATCGCAGATGGATATAATGCGATATTTCGAGGAGTCAAGTGTAATCGTCGGGCAAGAACGGATCAGTACTGTCTGACGGAAATACTCGTTGATGTCAGTGTAGACGTGGTCAACGCGCACTAGCAAATAACGACCAAACCTTAAAAAATGAATAATAAGGAAGTAAGATGTACCGAAATTCATTGGAGAGATGAATAAAGGAATTGCAGGTGTCACAAACGTCAGTAGCCATTGAAAATATGACATCCTCCAAGTACAACGGGTACGCAAAAGTAGGAACCAATACGATCTGGCAGTAACTACAATGAAAGTAATACAGAAGGTTATAAGAGCACGTATTACTTACTTGCGGGGCAAACTCTCGGAACGACAAGAGCAAAAACAACTGTGGACCACAGGCGCGAAAAAGTCCGAAACAAAACGCGAGAAGCCACGGGTAGCAAATATGCACTCTAAGACAATCGCGGCGTCGTCCTGACCAAAGGCAACTACATCAGTCAGAAATGGGCGAAGAAGGACATCGGCGACTGCAGTATGCCGAGTGAAAAGCATAGAAAGCGCCCGTAAGACAGTATCAGTGTGTTCTGCAGAAGTAATAAAACGTCGGATTTGAGGAACTGAATAAAGTAAATTCACGACGCAATTGATAAAACAGGAATCGCCAACGTTTTCTAGGGCTAAGAGGGGGGAGTCCATAGGAGCAGGGGATGGATTGCAAACAACGGGAGCAGAAAGAGGGCCTGAAGAAAAGCGTGATATAAGTTTTATAATGTATTTGATGCCGTTTGAAGGACGATTGACAGAAAAATAATTTCAAACATACTTGAACCGTTATCCATGCCATAACCAACCGATTCCAAACGTGAATACTCGCGCAAAGCAGGTAGGTTTGGCACAAAAACATCAGAACGATACCGAAGAATGTGCAAACCCCCGAAAGAACGCACGCGAGAAAAGGCCACATAAGCAACGGCGGCATGGTTCATTGTGGACATATCCAAAAAAAGTTCAGAGGCGGTTAGGCCTTGGCTTTTGTGGACAGTCAAGGCGTATGCCGGAATAATTGGGAACTGATAGCGCATAATGTACCGTCCTTGGAAAATACCGACCGATGGTCGCTTGTGAAGGCGAAAAGAGGTGCCACCAAAATCAATATCAAGTGTCGTAACGCCAGAACTCGAATAGTTTAAAGATGTTATAAATCCAACCGATCCATTAACATGGGGGAATTCGTTTTTTCGTAACATAACTTTTAAACCTACGCACAGGCGCAGAGTAAGAACAGCCCAGTCACTGAGAACCTGAACTGAGTAAGAACAATATAGAATCGAACTTACGAGGGAATGAAAGCTGGTTGAATTAATATCGCTAATGGCAACATCAACAGCTGGAACGGCTACTAAAGTAAAGTTGAGCTTTGAAATGATGTTAGAATTGAACGTGTTGACTTCAGAATTTGTTCCAAACAACACTATAGCGTCAGGCGATACTAAACGGGAAATGAGAGCATCGAGACAATGGGAAACAATGATGCAACGCTGCAGAGAGTTGAAATCATCAAGTGACAACTGTCCAACCCGCATACGGTGGAGAAAACAACTATACTCCGTATCAGAATGGAAGCGTACTGGGTCGGTAAGGTACACTGGGCGGAACAAGGTCCTAGAAAGTCGATTGAATACTTGACTCAAACAAACCACAAGGAGTTAGCGCCGGCAGAGGAAAAAATGGAAGTAAGTTGATGTTGTGTGACGTCTGCAAAAATTGGAGCTCCTCGGACGGGGGGCAGTTGACACAAATCGCCAGACAAAATTACATTGAGACCTCCAAACGGCTTGTTGACATTCATAATGCACACTAGGCGGGCATGAATTTTAAGCAATAATACATTACTGATCAACGAAACTTCATCAATTATTAAATAACGGACAGAGTTGAAGATGTTGCGACGGATGATTCGCTGCTGGTACGGCAATGGAGTTAGGTAGTCTTCTCCATACGAACTAAAATAGAGTTACCTGTATTACGCGGGGGTTTGCAAAGATGCAAAAGGTGTATAGGGCACGCCACTCAGAACGGCCAATCTCGTTGCAGGTATCTGGCGGACAGTAACAAACCAATCCCGTAAAAGTTGTATGAAATTAAAGCGAAAATATCATGTCTAATGAGATTAACGCACTTGGTACGGACGTAAGCTCAAATGGTTTAAATAATTGAAAAAATGCTCATATTCGGGTTCCAAAATTTTCTACAAATGTATGAAAGCTCAGAACGGCGACATCCGTGAAGGTACACGGTTTACAGTAGGTGGACAAGAAATGGGGTTAATCACCGTTAATTGGATACAAATTTTATAGAAATAGGTTCATTAATGCCGGAGAAATATCTCAAAAGAGGAAGAGTGTTAAGTGGCCCACCTAGTCCGAAAATGCATATAGAATAAGGCATAAAAGCACAAATGAAGACGCGAACATACGTTGTGGAATAATTGATTCCAAGAGCACTATGCAAAGTAATACCATTAATCAAATGCGCGGACCATCCAGAAGGGCCCAAAGCAACCATGTTAGGCATGTTATTACCGACAGAAACAGATGAGGAAGGAGTGTTAAAGAACGATAATAAAAAATTTAAAAGATATGTTTTGCCGCAACCGGGTTCAGCGGTCAGGAACAGCAACAGTTGCGTGGATGACTGAGAAGTGAAATGATCAAAAACCTAGGCAAAACATAAATACAAGAATATGAACTCACCCTGCTAAAAACAGTGCGCTGTTCTGCAGTTAAAGAGCCTTGCAAGCCAACAACAGTGGAAAAATACGAGGCATCATGTACAAGGGAAAGGATGTTGTCATAGAATGGCTGCATAAGCTCTGGTGGTTCAGCAGATTCATCGTCCAACGGAAGGGAAATTGTGGAAGAAAAATCTGTGATAGTGACGGTGTGTTGGCGGACATAAGCTTCCAATTCGGAAAGAGCTTCTTGTTGGAGAGAGGAGCCAGAACACAAAGTGGAACACCACTGCTTCCAAACCGATACAGTTCCTGTGTCGAGGGGTTCCGTTCGCCAAGGCTGCAGAAGAGAGTAGAGGACAAGAAGAAACGCTTACAACAAAAAGGAAAAGTAACCGCCAATAAAAAAGTGCCCGATCAGAAGGATCATCCATATTATAATCATCCAAATGAATGATAGGAACTGTGGGAGTTCTTCGTTTGACTAAATACACTCGTTGCTTGCGGGCAGTTTCATAGAAGGCCAGAGTTTGCAGATCCCGTAAAACAAATCCTGAACCCGTAGACAAGGTGTTGTAGTTATAGAACACAGAGTGAATATTTTGTACGTTGTAAAAACCGGCCAAAGGATCATTACAGAGGATGGGATCAGCAACAGCCGTCGTTGGCAGAACATCTAAAAGACAAGGATACGAAAAGAACAGCTGTCCTACCAATAACAACGGGAGGAGCCACATAGGAAATGTAAAAATTCCGCATGAAACAGAATAAGGAGCAGGACTCCAAGGATAAAGGACGACGAGGATAAAAGTCGTCGAGAACGTTTTCCAGAACAGCAGGATCATCAGGGAATTTCTGTAAAAAATGACAAATTACACATTGGCAGGCACGGAGGCGAGCTACGATAAAGAAGAGCCCATGTAAAAGGTAAAAGATTATAAGACCGTCCTGTTGTGCAATACGAAAAACGTCATGAAGCATTAAATGTTGTACAGGGGTTATGAATTAATATTGAGCCCGACGGCAGCTGTAACGGAAGCCTCACCTGCAGTTCCTCTTTACTACGAAGTCTGCGATACCGGTGACAAGACTTGTAAGTGTTGATGAAGGTACGGTCCGAACTGAACATGAAGTATTTTTTTCCTTGTAATAAAGAAAATGTGGTTTCGTGGAAGGAAACCGGCCGCTTGTTCAGCATGTCTACCGCAACCTGCAGCAACCCTTGAGGGGTAATGTCATCGCAAAGGTTTGAAGCTAATAAAGGAGACTCATCTGACACAGGTTCACTCCTGGTGACATAAGCAGTGACGTAGTCGTAGAGCTTGGAACGGCAGGATGGAACAATAAGTTGCAAGTTTATGTTACAAGAAAGTTGCCGAAGAATAGTTGCGTTATACGAGGAAACATGCTAAACAAATGTATAGCGAGAAGGTAGCCTTACTTGTTCAGCAGAGGCGCGGCGAAGGGAATAACCGATCAAAACATCATCCTCGTTATAGTCAAGACGCAACGTCTGACAAACAGGCTGAGGGAACTTAAACCGACAGTAACCATGCCCAAATTGATCAAGCCGCCAACAAGTAGCATTGTGAGAAGGCTCATGCAAAAGATGCTGTCGGACTAGGGAAATTAAGTGGAGATCATCGATAGGGAGTTCGCAAGTGATGTGTTGATTAATGTATGAGCGGATGTATGGTTCGTTGGAAGCAGTAAGAGATGGGAAGCCGTCAACCCACAAAAGAATATGAACATGAAGAGCTCCACATTTTTGAAATTCAAATTTTAAATAATAATGTCGAATAGCACCAAGTGGGCCGTTATCCGAAACGATAAAATGTGTAATGTACTCCACATAGAAGTTATAAAAATACCTGAAACGTCAAAGCTAGAGCACTTGAAGCGAAGAAGCGTTTTATTTAAATTTCTTCGTGCACACTCCGCCCAGTGAGCTAAAGAAATTAGGACAAAACAGTTTGTTTTGAAAGCAGTCGCTAGAAAATATAAAGGGCCAGCTACAGAGGAAAGCAGATGAATAGGAAACTAGCCGAAGTGCCACCGCAGAAATCTAAATAAAGAGGACGCAGACGTGGATCAATCGGAAAAATGAATGAATTGCTTACTCAACAGAAAAATATGGGCACTTTGCAACGTAGGTATGAATGTTGAAAGGAGTTACCACAGCCCCAAAAACGTTTTTGTAGATCTGAAGATGATGAGGATCCTTGTAGTTTTGGCTAAGTGTTAACAAAAGGGTCGGATGCCCAAAAGTGGAAACATATCCCAGCAAATCTCGACGTACAGTACCCCAATAACTTAATTCGCCACGAATGTTGCGCAATAAATATGACATCAAAATGCACGTCGTCGTGTCGCCACTTTCAATACTAGTCAAAACCGTCCGCGCTGTCCGGATACGATCTGTTAACATCGAACAATTCGCAATAGCACGTCGGATTTCCTCTTGCTCGATCATGCCTTTCGCAAACATAATGTATTCAAGAGACATTGCAAAACGCAAATCCTTGTTTCGTAGACGGCAAGAAAAATACTCCTAAAAGTAAATAGGGGTGGAATGAAAAAAAGGAAGATTCGCATATAATGGGAAACAAAAAAGTTGTTCGTCTACTATAAATAGTAAGCAGAAGCAGGATAAAGAATACCTTTAGAGTTAAGGGTTGCGCACGGGTGTATGAGAATCCGAACCGGCCACTGGGAAATAAGTATGGAAAACATTTTTCTTCCAAGAAAGGCATCGTATACAACAGAGGCTGGGACGTTAGACGAGTCAGGTTAAATACTTGCACTGCCGTACCAGGGAGACCAGCATAGTTGTTACAGACAGCTGATTGGACGACGGAAGATTTTGTCAGAACACGTGAAGCGTCGTCTCCGGGCGAAACGACGCGACGTGAAAGATCGACAGTCGCAAAAAGATCATTCCCACTGTCTTTAAAATGTTGTAAGCAAGCATAAATGACCGGCAATCGGACGTCTTGAAGGGCGTGCAGTTCTATAAAAGCCGAATAAAAAAGCAAATAAATGAAAACGGAATTGAAATTGAAAAGAATACCATTGATACGTAATTGAATGTGAGCAGGATCCAGCAAGGAGGAAGACGTATGTTGAAACTCAGAAAGGACATCAATGTAAGATTGAATAGGACTCGGCAAGAGCACCATAACGCCGGATTTGCAAACAGTTTGAGTGCGCTGTCCATGGCGATTGGTGCCAACAAAGCGACGTTGAACTGGATGTACAAGTTCCAGAAAGCACTTTTCAAATGGCAAAAGATGTTGCATAAAAGAAGGCAAGGGGTCCAAGGACAAACCATTATATATTGAAAAGCGAGGCACCAGGTCTCGACGTAAAGCAGTCCAGCAAGAGCGACAAACCACAGGCTCCGAAGGCAAGGTATCTGCAATAAGATAATATGAAGGTGAAGAAACAGAGGAAAATGCCAATGCTGGGGGAGGTATTCAGCACACAGCTAAGCGCGTCTGTGGATAATAAAATATTAAGTATTTGTTTAAGTCAGTAGTATCATAGTAATTACATCAAAGTAACTTGAGTTAATGGCCGCATTTCTAAAGACCGTAATTTCCGCATTTCGCGATCCCTGAAAGCGCGAGCCTGGTTTTTGCTAACAGTATAATCGGATATATTCACTGAGCCCGAAGAGGTTGAGAGGAGCGATGAGACAAAACAAGTAAAAGGATTACCACCAAAATCGATAGCCGTGAATTGCAACAGCTGCTGACATGATCGAATGAATAAAACACTCCTACGCTTCCATTGATGACAAACATCGCAAGCGTATGGATAAACGTTGAGTAGGAGAAGGTCAAGAGCAGAGGCGTCACGATTGTCTTGACGGGTCAATTTCATATGACGACCAACAAAACGACCAGCGCGTAAAAACCGAGGCGAGACATCCGGGTCCACAACATCGCCAAATGCTACGGGAGTTCAGTTATTAGCATATCAAGAACCTACATGGTACCCAATCTTCATCATCATCGTCTTCATGATTGGAAGTAACGGGCGTAGAAGAAAGAGAGGGAACAGATGGAGGGGACGAATCGGAAAGTTCACCTACCGCCGGACTTCCACTAGCAGGAGTAGAAAACAAAGGAAATGCATGGTTTTTACGAAAATAATCATGTATATGCTTGAAACGATCAAACTCGCAAGTACAGGCCAAAAGGAAGGAAGATGGTAGGACATGCCAATGCAAAATGACTTGCATACGTAGACCTTTACTACAGGTAGCATGGGCCGCACGTCGTAAGCTTGGAAGCTAAAAAAACAAACTAAACGTTAAAAGGTAAAGCCTGGTAACGTACATCATCGGATGGGAATTCTCGCAACTGGTTACCAGTGAGACTGACAACGTGCACATTTCGGTCGCCAAGGATACCAATGAGAAGCAGAAGATCAGTGGCCAGATGCACAAGCGAAACCCCACAGACACAATCCGCGAAGTTGTGTTCGTAAAAAGAGGTCCACTGGCGATGTGACCAATGAAGACACCCGGGTTGACCTATGAAACGCGTGGTCGAAGTAGTGCTGTAAGAGAAAAAATTAAAGAAACCAATGCATAATGGGGGTCTTAAAGCTGATCGTGAGCTGAAGATATGAGTTAAGGACAACCACATACCGCAAGTGTTGGAGTATGAGTGCATCGTCGGACGAAGGAACCATCATAAATCGGAAAAATAGATGAGAAGATCTCTGTGTATACACTGACAATATTAAAAGATGAGAAACTGAAAACTCGGACGGTGACGACGAATCTACGATAAATATAACGGCTACAAGAACCTCAACGTAATAAGTAGAAAACCAAAGAAATTGGGCGGTGAACACTTTAATGAGAACAAATGATAACAAAATGGTGAGATGGTAAAACGTATGTTAGAAAAAAGAATTGAATTGAAACCTGAGCGTTTTGAAAAATATGTAAACCAAAAAGTTATTGACCCCAGGAGTGATCATGAACAACGACATTAGAGGGACCAGGTTGGGAAGCAAGACAACCGCTGCCCGAAAAGATACTATTGAAATCAATAGAATCAAACGAATCATCATACAACGAGTTAGGAGTTGATGGGGACTGACCTAAAACATACGATATTTTAGTTCCACCGTTATAACATACGGTGTGCACCTTTATGTAAATGTCCGAATTTCAAGTACACCAAATTGTAAAAAAACATACATGCAGTACCACAAGGAAGAATGGGGGCACTGGAGGGACCATCGACAGAGTCAACAACGGCATCAATAAGCTTCACCAAGGTACCAGCCACGAGAGTATCTGAACAAAGGGCATTAAAAAAGGAATTTTATATACCTAGTGTAAACAGCACGGGATCCGTGGAGGTTGGAATATCGCAGGCTCGAGGTGGAGACACGACAGTAGAAGGCATACCTCGAGCAGAACGCTTAGTCAAATTCTTTTTCACGCCAGAATGGGGACGTGCAGAAACCACAGTAGAATGACGTTTCAGCTGACCAGACACAGATTGACGCGCAGACGGGATGGAACCAGAATGCGCGCTTGGTGGAATAAAAGCTGCTGGAGGACGATCCGTAGCCTGAGTGAGAGGGCGATCAGAGCGGTGGGTCGAAGAATTCAGAGCAGAACGACCGGGCGACAGATTCGGATAGACAAGGACGGGAGAACGAACAGAGGGGGACGTCTGAAGCCAACCATCGATAGCAGAATTGAACACAAAAGAGAGCACGGCGACGGGTAAAACAAGACGTGGGACCATGGGAATGTTGAGACCACAAAGTTCCAAATAGTGTCTGACGTTAGGGTAGTTCCCCGCATCAACGTTTCGAAACCTCAGCTTGCTAAAAACAAAACATAAAACGAAAAAGTAACCGAGAAAAAAAAACTTACAACTGATCACTGTACACCGCGTGCAAATACACGTAGTGGGAGGAAGGAGCGGCAAGAAAGGCGGGAAGAAGACGCCTGCGAAAACGGGTGCAGAGAGCATCAACCGACCGGAGGGTATTCATTGCTGTAGAAAGCCAACTCCAATTTGAAGGAGTCCCTAAATGGAAGCCAGCCAAACAACCTTGCTGGATTAAAACATCGCCGTATTTCAGGATGAGATCGTCCGAAACAGGATCGCTTGGCATACGGGTGATGGCAGATGACATGGTAGCTGTAAAAAAAGTAACACAAGGAAATGAGAATAAAAAGTAGTAGATGTAAAGGGAGGTTTAACCCATCAGATTCGTGACAGAAGGAAAAAATGACGAGGTTATTTATTAAAAATATGGAGTAACAGATAAAAGCAAAATAATTCCACGATGACACGTTGAGGAAGTCCATAGCGTGTGGGTATGAAGTTGAAAAAATGACACCAAAAACGAATAACCGAGGACGATGACGTCTGCAAAAATAAAGCATAATATGTATTATAAATGCACAAAACGGCGTGTTTGCAAGTAATAAGGGTTTAAATGAACAAGAAGAGCTTAGCAACCACAAGGCAACGTTATGAACAAAAGGGGGGTTTTCAGGAGGGAAGCACACGCTTACAGATGACAACAAGCAGACGTAGAGGTCCAAGGTCCAATTGGCAGGGGGGCGGAGAACGGAAAAACGGCGACGAAAAAACCTCTGAAAATACACACAGAATATGTAACAGTCGGACCGTCCTAATTGGGAACTGGTTTTTTTTGTTGTTTACAGGATGAACGAAATAAACAAAGCTTACCCAAAAAGGAGGGAAGATCGAAACGAGTGGAAAAACGCACGTAGGAGTGGAAGATCCAAGTGTATTCGCAGGATCAACGTGATGGCACGGCACATAGAGGAAGGGTGGGAAGGAAACAGTCACCGGAAAAAAATGCATGTCGTTGGCCACTGAGGGAAAAGAGTAAAAAACATCTACTGTGTTTAAAATAAACATACCAAACATAATGGAGAAGAAATCAGCGAGCAAGCAGACGTAGATATCAACGGTCTATTTGGCAGGTGGGCTGTAGGGGGGAAAAAAGAAACCCTGAAAATGCTTACTGATTATGTAACACTCACACCGCCCAAAGAGGGTATTTTTGTTTACATGATAAACGAAATAAATGAAACTTACCCAAACAGGTGGAATATTGGAGTCAATGCAAAGTAGAAGGCCTACTGATCCAAGTAGCAGTCGCGGGGTCCACGTGACGGCACACAACACACAACACAGGGGAAGGGAGGAAAGGAAGTAGTTATCCAAAAATTTCTTTTTTCTTTTTCATTTTAAAATGACTGCAGGCTCTGAGCGTCGCAATTGAAGTACCTCCCTTGTAAGGTTTGAAAAATTTCAAAAAATTATTTTTTAACACTACTGCTTAAGGAAAACAATATTTTTTTTTAAGATATACGCGAGATCCCTAGCTCGCGCTTTGCAGAAACAACCGAGCTTTTTAGATCGAAGGTCGACGAAAATTTAAGACTTTGCCGGATTTCGGCACGAAAAGTTCATGCCTATTTCAACCGTAAAGGGGAACGTTTATACAAAAAATCAAAATTTTCCGCACGAAACTGCCAAAGTTATGACCAAAAAGCGCTTTTCTCTCTGACCGCTCTCCACGTTTAGCGTGCTCTCTCGGCGCTCAGATTTTGACGAAACTTGGCACAAATTTAGAGTAATGTTTGCTAAGATATATGCGAGACCCTAGCTCGCGCTTTGCAGAAACAACCGAGACTTTTAGATCGAAAGTCGACGAAAATTTACGACTTTTTGCCGAATTTCGGCACGAAAAGTTTCATGCCTATTTCAACGGTAAAGAATAACGGTTCTACAAAAAATCAATTTGTTCCGCACGAGACTGCCAAAGTTATGACCAAAAAGCGCTTTTCTCTCTGACCGCTCTCCACGTTTAGCGTGCTCTCTGGGCGGCAAAAATGGTTCGATATCTCGGCGGCGCCCGCAAAGCGCGAGCTAAAACTGGCAGGAATTGATATTTAGTCGATCCCCGACGTGTGTGCAAAATTTTAAGAAAACTCGAAAACCCCTAAAACGAGTATTTTTCAAAAAATTTTAAAAAAGTAACAGCGGAAGTACTCCAAGTGCGACGCTCAGATGTTGACGAAACTTGGCACAAATTTAGAATAATTTTTGAGGCTAAGGTAGTACAGCCCCCAGTCCAGTTTAGCCCCCCCCATGACCCAGTACAACCCCCCTCATCCATTCTGAACCCCAAAATTTATTTCAAAGAATTAATCCAAGTTGTATGGTCCAGCACAAGCCCCCTACGTTTTAGATCAAGCCCCTTACGTTTTAGATCAAGCCCCCTACGTTTTAGGTCAAACCCCCAACGTAGTAGATGAAACCCCCACTTACATTTTTGTATTATTCTAATTTGTTCATTATGTGGCGTGTGAAACGGGCAAAACAGTGGGGGTTTGAACTACCTTTCGTGGGGGCTCAACTAAAGAAGCCCCTAATTTTTTCTAAGATATATGCGAGACTCCTAGTTCGCGCTTTGCAGAAACAACCGAGATTTTTAGATCGAAAGTTGACGAAAATTTAGGACTTTTTGCTGAATTTCGGGCCGAAAAGTTTCATGCCTATTTCAACCGTAAAGGATAACGTTTCTACAAAAATATTGACGAAACTTGGCACAAATTTAGAATAATTTTTGCTAAGATATATGCGAGACTCCTAGCTCGCGCTTTGCAGAAACAACCGAGATTTTTAGATCGAAAGTGGACGAAAATTTAGGACTTTTTAGAAGGCCTACTGATCCAAGTAGAAGTCGCGGGGTCCACGTGACGGCACACAACACACGACACAGGGGGAGGGAGGAAAGGAAGTAGTTATCCAAAAATTTCTTTTTTCTTTTTCATTTTAAAATGACTGCAGGCTTTGAGCGTCGCAATTGAAGTGCATCCCTTGTAAGGTGTGAAAAATTTCAAAAAATTACTTTTTAACACTACTGCTTAAGGAAAACAATATTTTTTTTAAGATATATGCGAGACCCCTAGCTCGCGCTTTGCAGAAACAACCGAGATTTTTAGATCGAAAGTCGACGAAAATTTAGGACTTTTATGACCAAAAAGCGCTTTTCTCTCTGACCGCTCTCCACGTTTAGCGTGCTCTCTGGGCGGCAAAAATCGTTCGATATCTCGGCGGCGCCCATCGAAAGTGGACGAAAATTTAGGACTTTTTAGAAGGCCTACTGATCCAAGTAGAAGTCGCGGGGTCCACGTGACGGCACACAACACACGACACAGGGGGAGGGAGGAAAGGAAGTAGTTATCCAAAAATTTCTTTTTTCTTTTTCATTTTAAAATGACTGCAGGCTTTGAGCGTCGCAATTGAAGTGCATCCCTTGTAAGGTGTGAAAAATTTCAAAAAATTACTTTTTAACACTACTGCTTAAGGAAAACAATATTTTTTTTAAGATATATGCGAGACCCCTAGCTCGCGCTTTGCAGAAACAACCGAGATTTTTAGATCGAAAGTCGACGAAAATTTAGGACTTTTATGACCAAAAAGCGCTTTTCTCTCTGACCGCTCTCCACGTTTAGCGTGCTCTCTGGGCGGCAAAAATCGTTCGATATCTCGGCGGCGCCCGCAAAGCGCGAGCTAAAACTGTCAGGAATTGATATTTAGTCCATCCCCGACGTATGTGCAAAATTTTAAGAAAACTCGAAAACCCCTAAAACGAGTATTTTTCAAAAAATTTTAAAAAATTAACAGCGGAGGTACTCCAAATGCGACGCTCAGATTTTGACGAAACTTGGCACAAATTTAGAATAATTTTTTCTAAGATATATGCGAGACTCCTAGCTCGCGCTGTGCAGAAACAACCGAGATTTTTAGATCGAAAGTCGACGAAAATTTAGGACTTTTATGACCAAAAAGCGCTTTTCTCTCTGCCGCTCTCCACGTTTAGCGTACTCTCTCGGCGGCAAAAATCGTTCGATATCTCGACGGCGCCCGCAAAGCGCGAGCTAAAACTTTCAGGAATTGATAGTTAGTCCATCCCCGACGTGTGTGCAAAATTTTAAGAAAACTCGAAAACCCCTAAATTGAGTATTTTTCAAAAAATTTTAAAAAATTAACAGCGGAGGTACTCCAAATGCGACGCTCAGATTTTGACGAAACTTGGCACAAATTTAGAATAATTTTTTCTAAGATATTTGCGAGACTGCTAGCTCGCGCTTTGCAGAAACAACCGAGATTTTTAGATCGGAAGTCGACGAAAATTTACGACTTTTTGCCGAATTTCGACACGAAAAGTTTCATGCCTAGTCAACGGTAAAGAATAACGGTTCTACAAAAAATCAATTTTTTCCGCACGAAACTGCCAAAGTTATGACCAAAAAGCGCTTTTCTCTCTGACCGCTCTCCACGTTTAGCGTGCTCTCTGGGCGGCAAAAATCGTTCGATATCTCGGCGGCGCCCGCAAAGCGCGAGCTAAAACTGTCAGGAATTGATATTTAGTCCATCCCCGACGTATGTGCAAAATTTTAAGAAAACTCGAAAACCCCTAAAACGAGTACTTTTCAAAAAATTGTAAAAAATTAACAGCGGAAGTACTGCAAGTGCGACGCTCAGATGTTGACGAAACTTGGTACAAATTTAGAATAATTTTTTCTAAGATATATGCGAGACTCCTGGTTCGCGCTTTGCAGAAACAACCGAGATTTTTAGATCGAAAGTTGACGAAAATTTAGGACTTTTTGCTGAATTTCGGGCCGAAAAGTTTCATGCCTATTTCAACCGTAAAGGATAAAGTTTCTACAAAAATTTTGACGAAACTTGGCACAAATTTAGAATAATTTTTGCTAAGATATATGCGAGACTCCTAGCTCGCGCTTTGCAGAAACAACCGAGATTTTTAGATCGAAAGTGGACGAAAATTTAGGACTTTTTAGAAGGCCTACTGATCCAAGTAGCAGTCGCGGGGTCCACGTGACGGCACACAACACACGACACAGGGGAAGGGAGGAAAGGAAGTAGTTATCCAAAAATTTCTTTTTTCTTTTTCATTTTAAAATGACTGCAGGCTCTGAGCGTCGCAATTGAAGTGCATCCCTTGTAAGGTTTGAAAAATTTCAAAAAATTACTTTTTAACACTACTGCTTAAGGAAAACAATCTTTTTTTTTAAGATATATGCGAGACCCCTAGCTCGCGCTTTGCAGAAACAACCGAGATTTTTAGATCGAAAGTCAACGAAAATTTAGGACTTTTATGACCAAAAAGCGCTTTTCTCTCTGCCGCTCTCCACGTTTAGCGTGCTCTCTCGGCGGCAAAAATCGTTCGATATCTCGACGGCGCCCGCAAAGCGCGAGCTAAAACTTTCAGGAATTGATAGTCAGTCCATCCCCGACGTGTGTGAAAAATTGTAAGAAAACTCGAAAACCCCTAAATTGAGTATTTTTCAAAAAATTTTAAAAAATTAACAGCGGAGGTACTCCAAATGCGACGCTCAGATTTTGACGAAACTTGGCACAAATTTAGAATAATTTTTTCTAAGATATTTGCGAGACTCCTAGCTCGCGCTTTGAAGAAACAACCGAGATTTTTAGATCGAAAGTAGACGAAAATTTAGGACTTTTATGACCAAAAAGCGCTTTTCTCTCTGCCGCTCTCCACGTTTAGCGTGCTCTCTCGGCGGCAAAAATCGGTCGATATCTCGACGGCGCCCGCAAAGCGCGAGCTAAAACTTTCAGGAATTGATAGTTAGTCCATCCCCGACGTGTGTGAAAAATTTTAAGAAAACTCGAAAACCCCTAAATTGAGTATTTTTCAAAAAATTTTAAAAAATTAACAGCGGAGGTACTCCAAATGCGACGCTCAGATTTTGACGAAACTTGGCACAAATTTAGAATAATTTTTTCTAAGATATTTGCGAGACTCCTAGCTCGCGCTTTGCAGAAACAACCGAGATTTTTAGATCGAAAGTAGACGAAAATTTACG